CATTGTTGGGGCAGGGGCAGTCCTAATGTTTGGATTTGTTTTGTTAGGTTGCTTTGGACCATCGCGGGGAGGAATTTGATTAAACTTTGACAAAACCAAGGTATCCATTCTACTTCAATTGAGCCTATTTTTTCATTCGTTTGAGCCCTGTCCGTTTCTGTAAGGAAGGAAGTTGATCAATCTATTTGTTCATTCGTTTTGACAGCAATGGCTAGTGGAAAAGAAGTCGGATCGATTGATAAAGGAGCAACTGCTAGTTAATTCAGTAATGTTGCAGTTTGTTGAATTTTATATTACATATGCTTATTTAGTTTATTCAGGTTTGTTATCCGGTATATTCCGGTTTTATTCCGGTATTATTCCGAGACGGTATCACAAATCTGCCGGTACGGTTTTTTCACAAAAAAATATTATTTATTTACAAAAACGGTATTTTGCCGGTACACAACGATTGAACCACGGTAGTACCACAAAATACCCTACCACTGGCGGAGCCGGTATGACTTCCGGTACGGTTTCCTTTACCATGGTGTGTATTAGCTTTACCCCTAAGGCCCTAACTAATGAGTTGTGATTTAAGTTGATTAGTAATTAACCAGTACTTGAAAAGTAAGTGACCGACCTCGAAAGATTGCAATCTCCAAAATACTATTCGTAGCTAGGAGTGGAAGTTTGATATCAGTATTTAAGATCCACCAAATACCACGCCGAATTTATCATTATTTAGTATTATAAATTACCGAGTTAAATTTTTGAGTTTGTGATTGACATTGATTTTTTAGTAGTATTTGGTATTCGAGATATGAGATTAGAACTGATATATACTAAGATATCGAGCAGTACCTAAATTTTAAACATGATATAGTGAATCTTCCCTTAACTTAGTGGGGCTTAGCCCCTATCAACTAAATAAAGGCCATGGTTCCCAATTAAATTTTTTTATAATTAACTATGTGATTGTAAGAAGTGACTATTTCTTATAGACTTGTGCTTATAGTCACGATTCAATATATTAGAGGAAAAATGACTAAGTTGTATTCATGAATGATTAAAGTGAACTAAATTAAGATTTAGATAATTATGAATGATTTAATAATATTGAAGTATATATTTTGTACATTGTACACAATACTTCATTATTTACCTATACAATTAGAAAGCTTCTAATATATTATGTTCAATTGAAACCACCTTATTACCATTGTAATTTGATTATTAAATATGACGTTAATTAAGTTTGTATTTGTTATGTACTAATGTTATTAAATACAAGCCCCAAAATTGATGCTTAGGCACCATTCTGGATTTTGAACTGCTGAATTCAGCATCGTTTCCTGTCCTCTTTTCATTCCTGCTATTGGCTTCTAGCAGTAGAGTCTTGATATCTCCCAACCCTTAAAAAGTACCCAACTAAGATGTTGTGCCCTGAAGTACACAAAACACTATCAAGAGTGTATCAAAATTATAAAGCAAGCCCATGCTATTAAAGCACATTTTGAGTGATCATGTAGCAAATTCAAGATATTATGCGATAAATGTATGAAAACTATGAAGTTGTAATCATAATATGGGGGTTTAAAAGAGTACTTTCTACGTGTCATTAGTTGTAATTCAATTTTCTGCATAAAAAATTAAATTAATCGTGATCTTCAAAATCACATCGACTTTGATATATTTTCGAAAGAAAAAATTGTAAGACATTTATTATCAGTCTATGTCATGATGGTAATGTTATGTAGTATTTAAAATTATAACATGATAATATATTATTTTATTATCAAAATATAACATGATGGTATGGAAGTGTACCATGGTGGTATTGATATATCATAATATATGATAGTTTTATGGCAAAATACAGTTGTATATCCACAACTATCAGGTTTGTAGAAAATATATCCACAACTATCGAAATACACGAAATGTCCAATTCCGTCCAATATTCTGACAGTGTCAATAACAGTCTGACTGTACTGACGAGCTTCGATGGTTGGCCGTCGATGGTGAGACAGGGAGCAGGGGTGATGTCGATGAAGGGATCAATTCACACGAACTAGAGAGCAGGGGCGACGCCGTTGAATCGACGAGCTTCGATGGTTGGCCGTCGATGGTGAGACATGGAATACGGCGGCACGATGCAGTGGCAGCTACGACAATGGCATGTCCATGAGATCTGGCTGTACAGAGATGCGCGCGAGCTTCGATGGCTGGACGGCGACCCAGCAACGGCAAATGCATTGATGGTGGCGTAGCGCTTACAATTTTTTTATTTTTCTTTGGATTGAGTGGGAGTTGGCAGAGATGAATCGATGGCGGAGGGCGGCCGGGGTGGTGGGTTTGGAATGGCGGTGGAAGAGGGAGGAGGGGCGGAGGTGGGAGGAAGTTGAGGGGGTGGGTGGAATGGTCGTGGAAGAGGGAGGAGGGGCAGAGGTGGGAGGAAGGGGAAGGGGTCTGCTTTTTATTTTTCATTTATTTTTTATCAGTAAATATTTATATGTAAATATGACGTGTCACTTTGTGCTGACTTGTCGATGATGTGTGCGCTGAATTGGCGTCATAATCAGCGTATTGCTAACAAATCTGACGACGTCACTAACACCGTAATAGTTTCAGATGGAAGTGGATAGATTTGTCACACAACCTTTCGATTTTGGATATTTTGTGTATTTCGATAGTTGTGGATATATTTGTCACAAACGTGATAGTTGTGGATATACAACTGTATTTTGCGTAGTTTTTACATTATAGTATGAATATATAAATCATAATTCACTACCTTTAATCAATATCTACCACCACTTACCACCATATACCATGATGGTATAATGTGGTATATTTTGTCTTGAAAATTTTCCATCGATAAATTTATAAATTACAATAGATCACGATGAACCCGTTTCTTCTATATAAAAGTTTAGTTAAAAACAATGTTGATCAAAAGTGGTACCCGTGTGGTAATGAGTGGTACAAAATTTATTTTGTAGATCAATACGAATTCATTCCATAAGTGCATATTTTTTTGAAATCCAAGTTAAGACGAAGAAGATAGGGATTTTTCCAGAAATAGCACCTTTTAAAATTTTTTTACAAAAATAGCACATAGTCCCAAGAAATTACAAAAAAATAGCACCCATTTTTAAATGTTTTATGATGGCAGATCGGACTTAGCCGCAACCAACAGACCACTATTTCCTAGGCTTTTGGGAGGGGAGGGGATAGAGAGATAATTTTAGAGAAAGAGTGAAGAATGGGTTGTGGTGTGAAGAAATGAGAGGGGGGGGGGGGGGGGAGGGGTATTTATACTACTCAGACCGCACCCTCCAGGGGCGGTCTGGTAATTTTGGCCAGAAACCACACCCTCTTGATGCGTTTTGCGATTCTCGAGGCGCTGACCACACCATGCCAGCGGCGGTTTTCGATCCATGGCGCAGATCGCTGAAGTGGCGTGCCGTACGCCATTGGATCGCCGTCTAATCAAGCGGTCTCCAAGCCCGCTCCCGAGGAAACACAGACCGCACCATCTGGGTGCGGTTCGCTTGCTGACGTGGCATGGAACACACCTCCAAGGTGCGGTTTCAAAATAATGGTGCTATTTTTGTAATTTCTTTGGACTGAGTGCTATTTTTGTAATTTTTTTTAAAATGTGCTGTTATTGTAAAAATCCCAAAAAGATACAAGCAGTAGTGTAGCCAGACATCGAGTCCACTGGGGTCCTTAAAATTTTACTAACATAAATGCTTGTGTACCTAATGAATTTTGAGTTAATCGGGGTCCTTGGTGAGCTAACATCGTTGGGAGTATGGAGTTCTAAACTTGAATTATCGTACTAAAACCTATGTATTTAAAGGGTTTTGTTGCCCAATTATTTTCCAAGTGGGGTCCTAGGACCCCTCTCCTCCTTACCTCCCTCCGCCACTGGATACAAGCTGATTAAAAATATAAAAAATAAAAGGTTTTTTTAATCTCATCCCTTAGATTTGGGTCCACTTAAAATCGAATGATTAAATCTGTTAGAATGATCGTTGTTTTATCTCACAAACTAGCTAATCAGATGCAAGCTCTTCCTTAGTAGCGGTGAGCAACGGGAAACGTGTATTTGGTTATACCATACCCGTCCCAGTTTTTTAGGGTTACTAATACCCAAATACCCATAATTTTTTTATGGGATGACACTTGGAATTAAGAATTTCTACAATAAGTACCCACGGGTTACCTGTTGATACCCGTTTGAGTATTACGGGTACTCATACTACCCATAAATCAAAATTATATGCGCTCAACTTTGCTAGTGGCACGATGCACCACATTTTATTCCTGCTCTAGAATATTTTGGGTTCCGTTGCATATGCACGTGAACTTTTCTTTTCTATCTTTTAAGTGTTCACCATTCTTCATTTTTTTAGTCCAGTAATTCTTAAAGTCAGAAGCAAATTTATAGTCAACTAGTTGTCATTTTTTTCCGGCGTTGTGTTCTCACAAAAGTAGATGTCGATCGTTGGAATCAGATTTGCCGCTAGATGAGTCTTCTAGTGGAGTGAAATTCTCCAGGCCTAGTAAAAAGGAATCGAAGAAAAAGCCCAAATAACAAAAACCACCCAAATTTATGGGTTACCCGCATGTACCCGTTATCCGTCCCGTACGGGTAATGAGTACCCATTAATACATACGGGTTTGGGATATGGGATGAAGTTTTCTCTCCAAATGAGATTGGGTACTCGTTGCTCACCCCTATTCCTCGGGTGAATACCTCCTTTTGCTTCTCAGCCTACAAAGTATATATTTGACAGTCATTTCTAACTGTTGTTTCCCTCTAAAAACATATTCTTACGCATTACTCACCCGTTCGTATACTTTGTCCATTGCAAGCTTTTGGAGCTAAATTTTTTGTAACAGCGAGGTTAATTTAGTAAATTTAGACTAGTCTTTTTCGTATATCCTGTTGATAGTTTGAGTGTTTATTTGTTCTGTTTCTTAGTTAAATATAGTTGTATTCATAAGTCTTGGATTTGAAATCATTATTTACAATTGAACTAATTATTTTTCCATGATAGTGGAGCAATAAAAAAATGTGAGCGAAACTATATATATACACCATGTGATATAGTTATGAATAATTATTTTGTGCACAGTTTTCTTTACAAATGCAAACAATTAATCTTATATGTAAGTGTTTGCAAACAATTTTCCCTTAGCATATCACAAATGTTCAGCAATTTGTCTCACCGAAGTACAAGTCCCCACCACGCCAACAACAACACCAAAGATCAAGATCCCCACAATCACCATAAACTCCAACCCTAATCTCCTGCCCGACTCCTTAATCCTAATGTAGCACAAGCAAGGCAGCAACATCGTCCCCATTACGCTTAACGTTGATCCCATGAATGCCATGATATAGCCAAAGAACGGAACAGTTAGTGCAACGACGACGGTGCTGACCAAGATTAGGGTTCTCATCAGGATGCTAAGAAGTTGACTGTAGTTGGTGGAAAAGATGTATCTCTCTTCGATGGCATTTGCAATTGGAGTGATGACTATTGCATATCTGGTCACAGGGTTCACCAGAGTGGTGTAAATTGCGATCTTGGAACTGATTCTCCCAACGGGAAGGTTTAGGGTTATTGGGGACTTTGTGTGGTCTCCATACATGAGGCATCCAACAATTGCTGTCCATCCGTAGGTGAGTGAGGTTACCAGGAAGCCAATTAGCAAGACCTATGTCGAACACCAACAGAAAGAGGGCAAGAGACAACATTAAATTCATAGGAAGGGCGATAATTATGATTAGGGTTATGGTTATGGTGTGTTTATGTACCATGCACAACAAAATCTGGCCCATTGGTGTTAAAAGATTTGTTTTTTTATATAAATATGGGTAAATACAATATATTAGCCACAACTATTAAGCAGCGGGAAATTATAGCCACAACTATCGAAATACAAATTATTAGCCATAACTATTGCTGCGAGTCAAGATTTGGCTAACAGCCCGTTACTGTTTTCATATTTTTAACGAAGAAGGTCGTGCCAGCTTCGTAAAAAATATGATATGATGACTGCCACGTGGGAGCCAACTCAACATCGTAAAAGCTTAGTTATCATTACTGACAGAAGTGTTAACGAACACTTAACGGTTGGCTAATAATTTGTATTTCGATAGTTGTGGCTATAATTCCCTGCTGCTTAATAGTTATGACTAATATATTGTATTTACCCTATAAATTTTCTACTTTCTTAAACGGCTTGTATTTCCTTTGTTTTAATATGTGATTTTTTTATTTCACATATGGGATGGCTCATTGTGATGTACAAAATGATAAACATTTTTTGTATATTTCGAGAAAGATTTCGGTATACATTGGTCCCACATGATATCACTTTGTATCATATTCTTTTTTAACCAAGATTTTATAAAATTTTGTCCAGAAAGATTGAGTTCATCATGATCTATTGTGATATAAATTTTTTTACAGAAAAACAAAATTTCAGGAGTAAATATACCACCATATATTATCTTGGTATAAAGTGCTAACCGGTGGTAGATGGTGTTAAAAGGTGATAAATGGTATTTAGTATATTACTACTGTCGCTAGTGGCAAATCCAAAAAATTTATCAAGATTAGTCAACGATAACCCAAAAATCTCTAACGGTTGTCAAATAATCTCGAATTGAAATACTACCATCGCTAAAATAATTTTCTTTGCAAGTTTATCTTCCAAAAATTTGATTCAAGGTTTGTCAATTGACAAACCATTGAACCACTTGGGTCGGCCCTTGACTGTCATGTATACAACAATTTTACACTACTATGATACATTCATACCATATTGTTACATTTTTCATATCACCGTAATAATATTTTATGTATAACCAAGCATTATCATCATGGTATCTGCCTAAATTGTAACATAACAAGGTGGATATAATTTAAATTTGAATAGCACCGTTAAAATGGATTTTCCTTGAAAAATATTAACTTTAAACAAAAGAGATATATCCGTTAAATTAAATTGACGAAAAAGTTATTAATTTAGATCCGCCTATTATTGAGGGTTATATAAATGAGTAATTGAGGGCATTCTCACAGGAGCATGTGGGCAAAATGTGGAATTCAGTACCTTGGAGAATTGAGTTCTATCCCTCATGGAGTTGCAGAGCGTGGGGAAAACAGAGTGTGCACTAAACCCAAATGTGAACAAGCTGACAGCATTAGGCAACGTCTCCAACCTCAGAAGACGACCAGTACTCTCGCCGAACCCGACTCCGTCGACCGCCCCGACCCACGAAACACAGCCAGCCAGTGCAACAGAAGCCACGACCCCGCCGATGGAGACATAGGCCAAAACTCCTAAGCTTCTCAGCCATGTGGTCGGTAGGATTACAAGGGCGGTGAGCAGGACGAAAGCTTGTTTGCCTTGGAGAATCAGCCCACCAACCAGCCTGAAAACCTTGTTTGGGAACAGCTTGTTCAGATTGTCCCCTTCCAGTATCAGAAACTCCACCGCCAGCAAGTAGAGCGTCAGGTAGAGGTAAATTGAAACCGTAACTCTGCCTTTTGCTCCAAAGGCTCGCTCCCCGATGTCAGGGTATGTCTTCACTAGCAGGTCCCCTTCCATACAACGTTGCACGAGCAAACCTGCAATTCATTACTCGTCGATTTCAATAACTCGAGAGTTGTTGATATAATTGATCTTATATGCTCTAACATATGAGTGCCATCGAGATTCGAACCACAAGACATTTTTAGTAACAGAAGGTTCTGGATGATGCTACGTCATAAACAGATCGACCCCACAATAACTCGAGAGCTGTTTGGAGATGTGAAATAATGGATCTTATGACACATGCTAACACGCTCTTTGAAACGAAAGTGTCATTCATAAGGGTTTGAAGTTTTCACAGGTCCAAATACCGTGTACTCGACAAATAGGGGGTCACTAGGATTCGAACTCATCAAGACATCTCAGTCACAGAGGCTCCGATGCCATATTATAAACCAATCGATTTAATTACTCGAGTTGTTGAGAGAAGTTTAATTTATTTATCTTAATACAACCTAACTTTAGTTATCACACAAAAATTTTGACCAAAAAAGGGGGTGAAACCTGTGTACAAGCTGAGGATTGATACCAAGAAAAGGAGTGCCAGGCTCAACCATCCGCCCTGGGAGAGTGCGAATGGCATTGACAGTATCCCTACACCTGCAAAAACAAAAAAACTCAAATCAACCTACAACCTCAATTGAACTGAAAAAAAGGTAATAGTTTGCACACTCAGATCACCATATAAAGCTGTGTCATTTATGTAGGGAAGAAAGAAATAAGCAGAGAGTGGACCAGATATGGAATTGATTGCATTGAAGCAAGTTCTGATAAATGTGGTGCCTTTGCTTATCAGTATTGCTTGATCAGCTGATGGAGTAGCAGCAGCAGCAGCGGCTGTTGTAGCTTCTGATTGCGCCGGCGGAATAAGCTGCAGGACCTTCTCCTCTTCCATATCCCTTGCCATAAACTAAGCCCTCCTCATCTGTATATAAATTTCTCATTACTTTTTTTTTTATACACATTTACAGAATGCAAAATGTGTTAGCATCAGCGTGTGAAACATGCACGGGGCAAAAGGCTTCAAGAAACCTCAAGGAATTGACAACTTAGCTAGCTGACAGCAATGAAAGAACAAGCAAGAGAAGATGGAAAATATAAAACAGTCTGGAGTTTTGGTTGTAACCTATAAGTTTATTGGTTTTGATTTAATTATGACATGATTGATACATTATGGATATTGAAGAATAGCCGAATTGGAACATGCAACCAGAATGGTTATTATTATTATTTTTTTTTTGGAGTTGGACCTCTGTAAGGACACATGATGATGGAGAACATTTCGTCTGTTAGTGGGTATAACTTGTTTTTATTGAAGTGATACAAATAGAAACTACAACAAGTTGAATACAGTTTTTTAGGGAGCAAGACATGAAAGGAGGAAAAGGGTATACTTGGGCATATGCCTGAAGAAAAATTGATTCCGTATTCACTTTGATTCTAGCATAATAGCTGGTGATATTGTAGGGGGAGATTAATGGTGTTTCATCAAAGATTTTAGAGTGAAGGATGGGGTTATATTATCCAGTGGCGGATCCAGAAATTTTACACAGGGTGTTCTCTTTTAAAAAATAAATTAAATAAAAATTAATTATTAAATAGTTAATAAAAATTAAATAAATCTTATATAAGAAAATACCTGAACCATACGAGTTAAAAAAAATTCACGATGTGTTTTCATAAAAAATAATTATTTAGTCTCAGAGTCGAGATTTAGAGACCCACCAACGAAAGATCGGTGTTTGCGGTGGTGGAGTCTATATCGGCTAGCGGAGAAGTTACACTATCACCGACGATACGCGATAGGTATGAATACCATTCTCCCCTATGGTTGGATTGGTATTTTTTGCATGTTACGCATTCCAATTGCAGTCCTCATCGGACTTTTGTGGGGGGTGTACTGGTGTATCCAGAGGTTTCGAATACAGAGCATTATGTCGAAGGCTGGAAACTCTATGGAGCTAACGCCGTCTGCTGCTGGGGATACTCAGATGAAAGAGGCTATGATAGCTGATGAACAGATAGAGAGAGCTGCTCCTGCTGTGGATGTCACGACAAGGAAGGATTCTGAAGGAATGGAGGCCACGCGCGCTGAAGGATTGAGAGTGGATGAAGTTGCAGCTGGGATTCAGGCGCTGGCCATGGATCAGGTGGTTGAATTCACCATGGAGGATGTGGCTGCGGGAGTTCAATGGGCAAAGATGAGTCTACTGGGAAGTTTGTTTATGGATAACCCCCCTAGTCTGGCTGTGATCAGTAAAGTTGTTAATGGGGAATGGAATTGCGCAGTGGAGGTAAAGGTCGTAGCGGCGGAAAGGGGTCTCTTCCAGTTCTACTTTGGGGACGAGACTGATCGTGATTGGGTGCTCCAGAGGTCACCATGGACGGTGAAGGAGAGGGTACTGCATTTGAAACCATGGTGCCAGATAACAAAGGCGGTGGTGGATTCGTTCATCATGGTCCCCTTCTGGGTTCAGATGTGGGGGATTCCGAACCATTGCCGAACAGTGGCGTTTGGGAAGAGGGTAGCTGGAGCGAAGATCGGCAAGGTGTTGGAGGCTGGGGCTTTCGCGATTCAGCGAATCACTGGCCACTTCATCAAGACAAAGGTGTTGCTGGATGTTACGCAACCACTGTGCTCCCACGTATATGCGAGTAACCCAATTGCTGGTGAGTTTTGGGTCACCCTGGTGTATGAATTCCTTACTCTCCTTTGCTACCATTGTGGGCGGCTGGGACATACTGGGCCGAATTGTGCGTTTCCAGACCCGGTGGGAATTGAGCATAATGGCCCTGAGCTCAGTATGGAAATTATTGGATATCGGGTGGATGAGGCAGCCTTTGTGCCTTTACCACTGCGCCAACCGCCACAATCCTCCGTTTGGGTTAACCCTCATACAAATGGTGGTGCTGTCAACGGTGAGAAGCAGAAGTGGGGTCGAGAGGTAGAGGAAGGGGCTTCAGAAGCGAGCTGACGTCCGGTGGTGGTGGCGCTGCCAGCATAGGGGAGTTTGGCAACTGAGCAAGGCACCAAGAATTGGGCTGGGCGGAATGCAGGGGATATGGAGCTGGACAACATGTCTCTCGGCGCTCATTTTCGAAGAACAAAGGCAAGGGGGGCCAGGGGCAGTCTTCCAACAAGGGTAAGGGACAGATGATGTACCGCCGGGGTGGGGAGGTGAATGCGGCGGCTGGGTATAGAGGAGCTGAGAAGAATGGGGCTATGGGGATAATGCAACATTCCAAGGCTGATGCTCGACGTCCTCACAGCCGTTAGTCAAATGAACTGGGGCTCCTTTTTCGTGTCTTTTGGTGTTGGTAATGAGAACGGCCTTTTTGATTATGTGTGTGTTTGTGTTTACCTCTCTTCTGATGTTGATGCTCGAAATCAGCAGGTTAATTTGCTTAGGGATTATTGCTCTCAATTAACTAGTCCTTTTCTAGTTTGTGGGGATTCGAATCGTACTATGGAGGCGTGTGAGAAGGCTGGCGGGTTACCTTGGGATCCCAGCAGGGCAGCTAGCGTACGTGACTTTGCGAAGTCGCTTGCCTTGCAAGTAGTGGGATTCATGGGTCCACAGTTCACCTGGTCGAATAGGCGAATGGGTGTGGCGTGTATTATGGAGCGCCTGGACCGGGTCTTGGTTTCAACTGCGTGGGCGGATAAATTTTCACAGACGTTGGTTAAATATTGCACAGATATGGGTTCAGACCACATGGCGTTATTAGTGGAGGATAAACCCTTTACTAGAGTAACCAAACCTTTGTTCAGGTTTGATTCGCAGTGGGTTCAGAATCCCGAAACAAGGCTCTTGGTCAGTTATATTTGGAAATAAACATATACTGGGACACCGATATACCGCCTATAGCAGCGGCTTAAAGCCCTTCGACATTTTCTTTTTGACTGGAGCCGCGCAGGAACGAATAACTCCGCAAGGAATATTTGGATCCTGCAGACAGTGATTGAGGCTTTGAAAGAAGGGGATAGGGTGGACTGGGAGCGCGTTGGCGAGTTAGAGAAAGATCTCTCTAAGCAATGGGCTGTGGAGGAGGAGTATTGGAGGCAAAAGTCGTGGGTCCGATGGCTGGAGAAAGGAGATAAGAATTCTTCCTACTTCCATACGATCACGCGGACTCGTCGTCGGCGTAATTTCATTGAGGGTTTACGGGATAGACATGGTAACTGAGTGAATGATAAAACTCAGAAGGGTGCGGTGGCGGGGGATTTTTATGTTGATCTATTCACGACGGAGAGGCAGCTGCTGGATTGGGAGGCGAGGATGGCGGGGCTGCAGGTCCCCCGGCGGGTTTCGGAGGAAATGAATGGGGTGTTGACTGCTGAAGTCTCTAAGGACGAGATTAGACGCGTGGTGTTTTCGATAGGGTCGAATCAAGCGCCGGGGTCGGATGGATTTACGGGTAAATTTTATCGGGCATACTGGGATATTATTGGGATGGAGGTGGTTGAAGCTGTGCAGTCTTTTTTCGGATCAGGACGGCTTCTGAAAAGCTTCAACCATACTTGGCTGACATTGGTCCCTAAGGTTGAGGCAGTGGAGACTATGAAGCAAATTCGCCCGATTAGTCTTTGTCAATTGTTCTACAAGATTATCTCTAAAATCATGGTGGAGCGGATGGCCGTAGTTTTGCCTTCCATTATCTCACCAGAGCAGAATGGGTTCATTCGGGGCCGCCAGATTGTTGATAATGTTCTGATAGGACATGAGGTCATGCATTATCTTAAGATTAAGAAGCGAGGTAAGAAAGGCTATCTAGCTCTGAAGGTCGATATGGAAAAGGCCTATGATAGAGTCGATTTGTTGAAAAGAATGCCAGTCCGGAGCGGATTATTTGGCTAGTGGCGTTGTTATGGAGAATCTGGAAGAGTAGGAATTGGGTCATTTTTGACCATGTGCAACATGCTGTCCCTCGGTTAGTTCAGCAGTTTGAGAGTCAAAAGTTCGGGAATGGCTGGCGGTTGTGCAGCCAGCTCAGAGGCAGCAGGGGCCGCGCCAGGGGCGGGGGGAGAGTGATGGTGGGGGTCAGGCTCCTCCGATCTCACATTTCATGGCGTATTCTTGTTGGGTGGATGGTGTGGTGGCGCCTAGTTATCATGGTGCTGGGGGGTTGGTGGTCAGGGATGTGATGGGTAATGTTTGTTTTGTTAAAGGTTTCTCATATGCAGGTCTTGTGGATCCTTTCTTAGTTGAGTTGATAGCCTTCCGTGATGCGATTCAGTGGTGCTCTTTGAAGGGTCTTACTGAAGTGATGTTCTACGGAGATGCAAAGGTTGTCATTGAGAAGATTCAGAGAAAGGATGCTAGAGATTTGCGGGGTGGTAGGGTTCTGGAGGAGATTGGTGGGGTTCAGCGGTGTTTTCATAGATTTGACATTGCTTTTGTTGGCAGGGATAACAATCGGGTGGCTCATGAGGGGAAAAAAATCCCAAAGTACACATGTTCTTAAAAAAAATTCCCAATATACATAAGTTATAAAAAAATTTCCAAAACTACACATGTTTGGTACTCACTGTTTTTGACAAACGCAGTGAAGGCTATCACCGCGTTTGACAAACACGGTGAGTATTAGGCACGTTTTCAACCCCTGTTAGGTGAAAATTAGGTATGAGCTACCTAATGTTCACCGTTTGAGACAAACGCGGTGTTCACCGTGTTTGACAAAAAACGGTGAACATTAGGCAGATTTTCCTATAAATACCAGCCCACCAGCAATTATAAAAACAAAACCACTCCCCCCCTCTTCAAATTTCAGCAACAAAAACCGAGTATAATACACAGGCGGGGAATTTTCGATATGATTTATTTTTCGTATTATAGGTTAATGATGGGTTTTTAGTAGTTATAGTATGATTTAATTTTCGTATTATAGCGTAATGATGTTTTTAGTAGTTATATTGTTATGTT